GGTGCTGGAAAGTTAAAGGTCACATGCAACCAAAAAATCAAACATAATTAAAACACAATTATCACTTATTCATGACATATAATATACATTCTGATTATGAAAAAAACATATAAACAAAATTATAAGCGTACAATGGCGAATCAAAAGTGCAATATTTTTTACTTCGGTTTACTTCCCTCGAAACGAAGCACCTGGGATACCGAACCCAGTCAGAGCGGGTGGGTGTGCACTCAAGTGTAACGTCTGGTTCATTTGCCGATGCCCTCAATGCTCATTGTGTGTGTATATGTAGAGATGTTGGGTTTTGTAAATACATGCTCATTTTTTGTGTATAACATTTTGCAGTCAACAGACATAACATGTCGTGTACAAGTATCACACCTGCCTGTCTGTGTAATTACATAATGTGACAGAGACCGAACTCGGGCCATAAATCAATGTGTTTTGTTTATGGTGTATAGCCTGATAGGTGTTAATTTCAAATTGCATGTGGTCAGTGATCGAAGTTGTGTATTGAATATTGTCATTAGCAGACAGGCAGGCAGACACACAGGTGTCAATAAAAACAGACATTGAGTTTTGTCTGTGACAACTACACATCTATATCACAGTTAGAAATTCTGTCAACGCTGAATAATGACATTGCTTTTAAGTATTGAACTGAGAAAGTGACTCAGTAAGAAGAACGTGTGGTGAAATAGACAAATGAAATTATATAAACAGTTAAATCGGTAATCTACTGTCATAACATATAAAATATGTGAAATATCAGCAAAACATTAGAAAAATATCTCACATCAAAGCCTTCACCGAGTATTCACCGCCAGCGAAGGTTTTCCGTCTTGAAATGTCGAACGCCTCACTGGTTGACACATAGCTGAGTAGACCTAGATCCTAACAAGATTCTTTTATGTAATGAATAGATTATTTACTATTTGTTTTGATTAGACTACTCCTGCTCATGACCTTATAATCCGGACATCCCGCTTCCAAGCTGCGCGAACCTATTTCACTCGCATGTGCTATGAGCGTAGCTCAGCGCAGCCCAGCGCAGCCCAGCGCAGCTGTTGAAAACACTTTTCACCCTAAGCGCTGGGCTGAATTTAGTGAATCGTTTGAACTCCGATTTCATGGGGTTTTTTTCATTGTGTTATTTTTCAACTTTATAAGTTGAATTTGCATTTTTGATGATTTGTATCTGTAAGTCCATACCGAAAGGTATCAGAATCTGCAAAGTTGTGTTTTACGTTGCATGTGACCTTTAACAGTCATATGACCATCTCATCCCACCGGGTACCTGTTCACAACTGGGTGAACAGAGGCAACTTTGAACAAGGTCACTTGCCTAAGTTGAGACAATAATAAAAGATATTAAGTGTACTTATATTGCGCTAACTTCCATGTTATGCTCAAAGCGCTAGCATTATTACCCCCAACAGTGGACAGTGAGACCTAATGTGTTACATGTGCTTTGCTCTGGGCAGGACTGAAGTTGTAAAAACTGCCAAACATGGTCCCTCATCCAAGAACTCTCCACAACCAACATTCCTTAACTTCAACTGATTTGTTACTGGTGTTTATTGCACAGGGTGCCGTTGTACAAAACGACCTAAGTGCTAAGGCTACCTTAGTCTACGTTAAGGAATGGGAGTTACGGTAACCTTAGCGCTAAGATCGCTTTGTACAATGGCACCCAGGACCACACAACACCAAGGTTGGCCTTGTCATTGAAGGCTCTTCAATTCTACATGCATAATGTTATTGTTAGGGCAACCAGAGCCTATGATGTGAGTTGGATTCCTGGTTTGCCTCTGTTATATTTCTAGGATTGTCAACAGCATTCCTTGCTTACTGGCCGCCATATAGCTGGAATATTGCTGAGTGCAGCATAAAAGTAAACTCACTCACTCCTTGTTTATGGGATACTTTGGATTTTCTTCCGCTCTTGTGGGCGGTGGGGTAGCCTAGTGGTTAAGGTGTACGCTTGTCACGCCGAAGACCCGGGGTCAATTCCCCAGATGGGCCCAATGTGTGAAGACCATTTCTGGTGTCCCCGAACGTGATATTGCTGGAATGTTGCTAAAAACGGCATCAAACTAAACTCACTCACTCCAACATTACACTCATATAACTCAAATACTGATCAAAGCACTCACTCATTCACTCAGTAAATATACAGTAATTGAAAAGAACTCAGGTGTCCACAGGTCATGATAGGTGTGGCATATATTAAAGTCAATATTATGATTGGTGCCAATAATCTTGGATAAAATCACAAAGACCCTGGTTCAATTTTCCAAATTGGTACAGTGTGTGAGGACCATTTCTTGTGTCCCATGGAATATTGCCAAAAGTGGCTTAAAATGGCCTTAAGCCATAGTCATTCACTCGCTCATATATTCCTGATATTCCATTGAATACCAAGCTTACTTTATTTGACAGTTTTCAATAAATCCATAAGAAAAACAGGATAAAGGTGCCTTCATTTGAGCATCAGTGTATTCTGCGTAAAAGTGTTAGGTTTCATTTGTGTAAATGATTAGTGCTTGTGATAATAAATACATAAGGGAATACGTATTTTGTCAATTTTACTTTTGAAAAACTGCCTGCCTGACATCCTACAAGAACTGTAAAAGAGGAAAACTTCATGAGAATGTTCATGAACAAATAAATAACACTGAAATTACATCAGTAGGACAGCCTATAGCCAAGGGGCAAAACTGAGCAGTTTATAACTTGTATTTTTATGGCCACCAAGTCCCCATCAAGACAGGTACTTCCTTCAGAGGCCAATCTCATCTTACTCTGGGGTAATATTCTCTTGACCAAGTTGATGATGTTATTACATTACTGGGAGTGAGCTCTTCCAAGCTTACACAGTTATATGGCGTTGTGATTGCTTTTTTAAGATGGACTAAAGAACTACGACAGTAGGGACGGTTAATGAACATTTTGCAATAATGGTGAAACTGGGTCTCTGTCGGCAGCCATGATGGAAATTTGAGCACCGTAGTTTGGGTCATGGTCTGTGCTCAGTCTGAAGTGCTTGTTTTACCACAGACATATTTCAGAAGGGAATCATTCCTACCAAGCTTTGGGTAGTGGTGAAACTGAATGGCACCAAAGCAGGAATTCCTTATCCCCCCAAAATGTAACATCAGTTTGAACGACATATAATGAAAATGTCCAATAGGATTCTACCCGTGAAGGTCTGGGTTAGAATATTGACCTTCAGTAACACATGCTTGTCGTATGAGGCGACTAACAGGATCAGGTGGTCAGACTCACTGACTTACTTGACACTTGTCATCGGTTCCCAATTGTGCAGATCAATGCTCATGCTGTTGATCACTGGATTGTCTGGTCCAGGCTCAATTATTTACAGACTGCCGCTATATAGCTGGAATATTGCTGAGTGGCGGCGTAAAGCTAAACTCACTCACTCCAATAGGATTCACAGAAGAGGTTATCACATCAAGAAGTATAATAGTAGTAGATTCTGCTGGATTAAACACCAGTTGTTTATGAGATATTTTCAATGTAATTAAGAAATACAGTTTGGTCTACCACCATGTAAAGTGTAATAAAGCACATTTTCGCCCTGAACTATTATAGTTAAAGTATGAGGATGCTTGCTCGCATTTCTACTACCAACATAAGTTTAGATTAGTACATCCAGATGAAGCTGTGTAGTCAAGCGACATTCCACTATTGCATTGTGGGAATGTAAACATTGCGAAAGGTTACCGTGTGGCTGAAAACTTGTGAGTCGAATTGAGACATTTTAACCATCGTAAAACATAAACGTAATGTTCCACCAGTGATGTTAGCTGTGTGGAGCAACTACAAACCAAGAAATGGGATGCAACTTAGTAGTTTACTGTAGGAGGCTGTACGAGGCAATGACAACTGACATGCATCGTGCAACGTCGCTTACAGTGTGACGTAATGCAAAATTGTTCGATTACGAGGAAGCAGACTAGAATGGCATTACATTCTGACGTAATGCAAAAAGTGCACATTATAGTCTGATAAAGTACTGTCGGCGCCTTTGATCTTTCACCGAAACATCTTAGAATGTTTCTTTTGTATCGTCTACAGATTTTGCAAGTGTTTCAGCAAATGTTTTGGCAAATGTTTTGGCTATGGTTCCACTAATTTCTAATCAGATACATGGCTGAATGATAGTTGAATGATTGCCAATAGATTTACTTAATTTAGGGACTTGAGGGTTGACTCGACCATTGGCGCTTATGTTGGTGATGTGGTTTGATTGTGAATAGATGGACTTCTGTGTGGGACTTGAGTTTTGGATAGTTACACAGAGTGTTGTCATACCTTTTATCAAAGTTTTCATGGGTATTTGGTATATGTATGGGTCATGGTACTGTATTTTGTGCCTTTTACAAAGGACTCAGCCTACCTCGATCTCTATTGACACTATTGATGCTTGCCAAAAGTTGCACATATGTTTTGGACATGAATGTTAATTGACACAATAATATTAATAATTGACACATTAATATTAAAGATACATACAGTTATAATAGTCAGTGATAGTTCCTGCAAGAAGGGGCAGTGAGTCATGTAGTCTGTCGTACAGACCCTGAAGCAAATATATCCAAGAAAGCCCATACAAGTCTAGACTATGAGTCATGCAGAAGGCCAAGGTTCGATTCCCCACATGGGTACAATGTGTGAAGCCCATTTCTGGTGTACCTCGCCGTGATGTTGCTGGAATGTTGCTGAAAGCGGCGTCAAACTAAACTCACTCACTCATGCAAGGGAAGTGTCTGGAATGATAATCAGGAATATTGAACATTCCTGTAGCCACCAGACATGATTCATGACTTACCATATTAGTGTTGATACAGATATGTCCATTCCATCAGGAATACAACGTGTATCCTTAGATGAAAAATGAGCACTATCATGATGAATTTAACTTCATTATCAGTTATCATTCATTTTAATGGGCCCATTTCTTTATATAATTTCAGTTGACCCAGAAAAGCAACAAAGAGAGCATAATCAACATGACCTGGGATCAGAGGTCAGAGGTGATGCGGCTCCTTCACATCCAAACTATAACATTCTCAATGAAGTATTGCCTGGCAATGAAAAACAATCTCAGGAAGTATCCAATCTGTCCCAAGACAAGGGTAGTCTGCTATCAAAAGACTCTAGTCATAGGAAAACCAAAGTTTTGGACAAAGCTGATCGTGTTGGCCTTTTGCCGGAAAATCCTGAAATTTCCATTAAAACGTATGACCTGCGCAAAGACATCCCGGACCCCATCTCTGACTTCCATATCCGAGAAGGGGGAGAGCACTCTCAGAATGACCTGATGAGTCAGGAGTGGACGGAAGGAAAGGGCAAGTTCAAGCTACGACCTTCAAAGACTGTCACGTGTGATGGAATGGTGTGCCAGAATAATGGAACTTGTGTCGTTGATGCCAATATCCCTCGCTGTAACTGTCAAATTGGGACTGCAGGTAGCCGATGTGAAAAAAGTAAGTTTTTAGAGCTGCCCTTAAATATTTGAGCTGTGATATGTTTGTTTTTATTAGAGCTAGTTAACAGTCATTGATAGCTGTTCTAAGCATCATATCAGTGACATAAAGACTCACTGAAAACTTAGGGAAAAGTAAACATCTTCTCATATTTGTGGGGGCATATCTGGCCCAGTCAGGTGCCCCATTCCATTGTGCTGAGTTAGTGAGGGGTTGATGGAAGTTACCCTACCTCATGTAAGAATGTCCATCTCTGATTGGTTCATGTGACCTTGAACAAAGTACCATGTATGGCCGGTGCACATCCATACACCTCCCAAGCAGGGTATAAATCTTTGTGAGGGAGATTAAATCAATTATGCCCCACCCATGGAAAGTGCATGCATCCATGGCAGTTGAGTGAACTGTGAACCAGTGGTTCGGATCAACTAGTCGGTACCATGATAGTAAAATATAGGATTGAATCTCAGTTTGTTTTAATGTTATATTTACATAATGAGAGATGTAAACATTCGGTAAGATACATTTGTTGTAGCATAATGATTCAGGGATACAGGGTTTATGTGTCCCTTGTTAGTTTTAAAACCAAGCAAGGTTTTAAAACCTAACAAGGATCACATAAAAATCCTATATGCCCCTCCAGAGGCCCAGATAAGCTGTGTATACGGGTAAAATATGCATAGAAAATTTCCAGTTACGCATTGAAAAATAATTGTTGCGTACCAATTACGCATTTAAAATGTTAGATACGCTAAAAGTTTAAAACAAATGCGTACGGAATATATTTATAAAAATCGCTTGCATTATGAAAAAGACATGGATTGCTATCAAGTTGTACTGTTAGTATAGGACAATTGCTTGTACTGTCAGTATAAGATGAGTGATTTTTTATGAAATCATTTCCATTATATTTAAGTTGGTTTTGATTAGGTATGACGTAAGGCAGAACATACCTGCTTAGTAAACTTACTCAATGACATAATACTTAGGTGAGTAAAATGACTGAAATACGCACATATTTGAAAGCAGTGGGTAACGGAAAATGAAATTCCCACTCAACATTCATGATACCTACTCCAAAAAAATACAGTGGGTACAGTACCCACATGAGCTAAATCTTATCTTGAGCTCTGACCCATCATCACAATGCTGTAACTTATAATGTATGTAAAACTGAGGGCAAATAAAACTACATCATCATATATATCCGTATTACAGTAAACAAGGTTTTGGTTTCTTTAACCCTTTCCAAAATATCCTATCATCAACTAGCTTCCAGCTGAAGTCAGATCTTACAGATACCAGAGTTCAAGCTTGCTTTAACCATGGTTTATGTCTTTTGTATAATGCCTTGATACATGGCGCCCTAATAAACAGTGGCCTGAGTGTGTAATCTTCCCATGGCATTTTAAAAGCCTTTCTTACCATTTTGTAACATTGCATATTTTGAAATATATTGTTTTGTTTTTTTAATGAAATTCCTGATTCCTACGCTTCAGAGTAATGTTGCTAGAAGTGTTCCATTGTAATTTATTGTTAGATGAATTTGTTAGAAGTAAGTTTGTGAATGCATATTTTTCTTAAGCATAAAGACGTCATAATATTTGGCTGTCTGTTGTCTCTGATGCAGACTTTAACTTCAAATGTCAATTTTTGTTGAGGTAATTGTAAAAACTTTGTAATTGCTATTACTGCAGTTGCAATATTTTTTGAGAACTTTGATATATTGAAAATTGATTATTTGCTGAGGAATTTGCGAATTTTGTGTGCTTGCTTTAAATTGCAGTGTTTGTTGTTGAAACTATAAGCATGTCTTAAAGTTGTACTTACAAATACTTGAAATTGTAAGCCCTTTTCACTGCAGACAAGATATTATATATGTATTGCTTTCAATATAAACCAACAGACCTAAATTAAATTTTGTTCGGAAGCATCTTTCAAGAATGTTTGCCATCCAATAATGTATCGTCAGCTGAGAGTTAATTTAATCCAATCTCTCTTGTAACACAGTGACACCCATGAAGAGCAATAACAGAACTAATAAATTGGCTTATCTCTTATTTCTTAGAATGTTCACTTCAGAAAACTGATGACCTCCCAGAAATGATTCAATTTTGTTGGAGTGCAAGTTTGATGGGTTTTCTCCATTTTCGTGACATATTCATCAGAGGTTTATACCCAGATCTATATATAGTTTGTAGTAGGTAGATATCATATACTGACTACTATCACATATTTGTGTATTCCCTTGTGACTAGACTATAGTTCTTAGTCCTCTCCTGCATGGGTGGCCCAGACGTCTGAGTACAATTTGCTGTGCAGTGTTGCTTCCCTTAGGCCCACTAGTAATCTTCGATAGTGAGGACTATGTCAGGTTTTCCAGCTATGTTTGTAGGTTTTTCATTTTTTCCATTTCTATACACATGTGTGGTTTTACTGACGTAGGAAATGGGAAAGTCTTTTGCCCGTATTGGCCCTTAAATTTCATTTTGTAAGGTTAGGACTTCACTCTGTAAAAGCAAAAAGGGGAGCTATAATATTAATTTACTTTTTTTTTTGGTGATGATGGTGGTGGTGGTGGTGGGGGTGTGAAAGAGTTATTTTATGGCTTCTAGTCATATCATATTACCAGAATATATACATATATATTCTAGCAGACATGAAAATTTTCCACGGATTTCCGGTATTTTTGTTTCATTTTGGACATTTTTTAAATCAATGTAAATCTGCAATGAAAGATAAAAAAAACCCCAAGACACCTGGCTAAATTTTCAGTGTTTTTTGTGCTTTGCCGTTCTCATGTCTGTTCTTGTCAAATCATATTACCTGAATATATGCATGTATTTTTCCTCATCATCAAAATGTAGGGGGAATATGGGCAGAAGTCTTACCAGGAAATGTACATGACCTGCATCACTTGGGCCTTAAAGTATCTTCCTACATAAAGATCACACGCGATGATATAACTGGAACACTGTTAAAACTAGAATCAAACTTAACTCACTTACTCGTGCATAAATGACTACCAAAAGCAGCTCTAATTTTATGCCTGTAGCTTTAATTAACATCGCTCAGCATAAATGCAAGGTGGTAGCAAGGTGGCTTTTAATTTACACTGCTCAATGTAAGTTAAAGAACACCCAATGTTTCCTGATGACTGTAGTTAAACAGTCATTCCTGTTATCAGTTGGGCTGCACTGTTGACATAATCCTGGAATTCGTTATCGGGAACGAAGAAATTCTGTCATTTTGGCAGTTTGATTGACTAGCATGGGAAAAATCTGGTGTTCTTATTGTGATGAATTGATATGAAAGAAAGCACACCATCCTCAAAATACTTCAGTTGCTATGAGCATTATTCTACAGGCATGACAGGGAACCAAACCAGAAAATGATAGTAATAATGTTTATAGAAGCTGCTCCAAGTAACATGTACAGAAGCCTTGTTCCCATAAGTCTGGGTGGAAGCCTTGATCTAAACTTTTGGAGAAGCCATGCTGTGTTAATTGAACTTGTGTAATTGCCGAGCTCTTCTCAAACTGGGGGAAGTGTAGTTCTTTTCAACTTGTGTAAAAGCATATCTCTGATCAACTTGTGTACAAGCCTAGCTTTACTCAACTTGTGTAGAAGCGCAGCTCTAATCAACTTGTGTAGAAGCCTAGCCCTAGTCAACTTGTGTAGAAGCCTAGCTCTAGTCAACTTGTGTAGAAGTGCAGCTCTAATCAACTTGTGTAGAAGTGTAGCTCTAATCAACTTGTGTAGAATTGTAGCTCTAATCAACTTGTGTAGAATCGTAGCTTTGATCAACTTTTGTGGAAAGGTGGCTCTGATCATTTTATGTAGAATTGTCGCTCCAATCAACTTGTGTCCAAGCCAAGCTCTAATCAACTTGTGTAGAAGAGTAGCTCTGATCAACTTGTGTAATAGTGTACGGTAGTTCTAACCAACTTGTGTTTTGTTGCAGTCATCTCAGTGGTGTACCCAAAATTCCATGGGATGGGGTACCTTGCTCTGCCTGTCTTAAAGAATGGCTACCGAGACTTCCGGATCTCACTGGAGTTCCGACCTGAGGCTAAGAACGGTCTGCTGCTCTTCAGTGCGGAACTAGATGATGCCAAGACAGATTTCTTCTCTGTGGCTTTGGTGGATGGATACATCGAGTTCAGGTAATTGTCAGATGAATATGGTGTCTGGTGAGAGCTACAAATACATCGTGATATCTTACTGATTGAGAACATTGTTTCTACATTTGTCTGCAGCATAGCCATACACTTAGGTGTCTCTAAAGTGGAAAATGTCAAAGACAGCTTGAGCTTTGGCTTTTCTGACTCACAGAGTTGATATGACTCAAATTATTCCAATCCTGTTTTTCCTTGAATATGGTTCTACATTTGTCCGCAACATAGCCAAACATTTAGGTGTCTCTAAAAAGGAAATTCTTAAAGACTGCATGACCTTGGGCTTTTCTCACTCACAAAGTCGATATGACTGAAATTGTCAAAGCAACATGAAGTTAAACACATTCACTACTTGGAAAGGACTGCCTCCGTGGTGTAGTGGTTAGGCATCCACCCAGAGAGCTGAAGGTCGCGGGTTCGATCCCCGACCACGTCATACCAAAAGACGTTAAAATATGGTACTTGTTGGTCCCTGCCTGGCGCTCGGCATTAATGGGTACAAGAAGGACTGGTCGGCTCGGAGTCAGTATAATGTGTCTGACTGGGGTATTCATGCTTCACTGCGGCATTGTATCTCAGTGGGCTAGCACTATAAAACCAGCTTAAGTCTGGGCTAGTACAAGCAGCCGCACCTACACATATATACACATGCATGCACGTCGTCATATGAGCGAAATGTTCTCAAGCACGACGTTAAATCCAATTTCACCTCACCTCACTACTTGGAAAGAAGATGTGTAATGTTAAACTGGTACCCATGCTGACCCATACTGGGTCTGACACTGCACAACTTTCGACTTTCCTCCCCCGAAGGACAGATTAACATACACCAACAGAATATGGGGAGTCAAACGGACATGGAATGAAGGGCATATTGAGAATGCTTTGATCCTCAATTATGGATTTTTCTGGAAGCTGAATTGCATGGCTGTGTTCATGCAATAATTTTTGTAAGTTTTGGAAAATTGAATTCACATCCCATGGTAATGACAACAGCTGGTAATATGTGTTGACAGGTGTTGACAGATCTGATATGAAATAGTTGGATGTTGAATCCAGTAATTGAAACAGTCTTGAAAGCAGCTGTCATGAAGCATGTCTCACTGTTGCATCATCATCGGGCCAAAGTCTTCATATTGCTTTGATAAGAAATGAAGAATTTTGTGATTTTGCCTAGGCTTGTGAATTCCGACTTAACACGGTAGTTGTGCTACTGCTGCTTTGAGGAATAGATCCATGGCTTTATTTGTGACGATGTTCTGTATTTATGATCTACCTTGCTCTTGAGAGGGCTTGATTGATATGTTATATATAGATATACTGTAAACAATGATTATAGCATACTGTAGGGGACCACTAATTTGAGTATGTTATAAGCATTTCGGTTAAAATATACAGCAAGTGGAAAAAAAAACCCATTTTGTCATATCCATCAATTACTAATAAGAGTGATATTGTATTGTCCAAATAGTGCTATCCGTTTTAACTCTCCATACTAGTTTTAGTTGTAATTGTGATATTCTAGTTGTTTTACTGTCCTTCGTCGACAGGTTTTATATAATATACATATATTTCATTTCAATATCAAATGTTCTCGTCACGATATGGCTGAAATATTGCCGATGTGACGTTAAATATTAACTCACTCACTCACTCACTAATAAGAGTGTTCACTATAAACATGGCTTACTATATTCAATAAGGCCTATTCTTTGCTATGCCTTCAGTTTTAAAGATTAAAGTAGATGAACCATTACAGATGAAGATTGCATTCTTCCATAAACCATTTATCCTTTGCAAATATAAATGGTCAAGGCAGAGAATAATCCAACATCTAGTCTTCTAGGCTCCTCTATTTCCTTGTGTAAATTGTGTAAAAGTTGAAGTCTAAGAACAAAGACTGCCTTTCCCATTAGATCTGGTTACCATAATAAGTTTCGTATTGTTATAAGATGCGGTTGATTATTGCAAAGATGAAACATGTTATCGTGAAAGTCTTGGCCATCAGGATGTGGAAATTAAAATAACTGAAATGTAAGGAGCTAAATCTGTTGTAGACTTTGTTGTTAGTTACATCGAGGATGTAATTCAAACTTCCCAAGAAGCTAATCAATGTTTCCTAGTATGTTATTTTGTAGGTAATGGTCAAGTTATACTGAAAAAAGGCTATAATTAGTTAAACAGGCAGGCTTATCTTGATGTGCGTTTATACATTCAACAGCGGTACAATAGATTTCTTCCTTGTGCAGATCAAACAGGAGTCAGTGTAAGGTATGGGGGCTGCATCTGGTCAAGTGGGCAAAGTGAATGTGTAACTGTCCTGGACATAATCCATCTTCCACTGGCACAGATATACTTAACAAGATGTTCTTAATATGCTGTGTTTTCTCAGTGGCTCTGTAGCCTGGTGGTTCACTCATTAGGCTTGCAGCATTTAAGCTTCAGGGGTGGTGGTGGGTAGCCCAGTGGTTACTTCATTTGCTTTCCAATGCTGAAGACCTGGGTTAGATTCTTCACACTTACTCTTGCTCACTCACTCACTCACTCACTCACTCACTCACTCACTCACTCACTCACTCACTCACTCACTCACTCACTCACTCACTCACTCACTCACTCACTCACTCACTCACTCACCCAACACCAACCACCCACCCACTTACTCACTCATTCTCTGGAACTACATTTATCAGTGTGGATGTCTGTGTAGGCTTGACTGAGACAGTGTTCCAGATTTACTGTCTATGCTTAGAGCATTGCCCTTTAGTCAGAGTAACCAATACCGTACATTCCTGGAGGCCTGATGCCAGCACAGTATATGTAGATGTGACATTTATTGTTGGAGTTTCACATCACATCTGCACATGTCATTAAGTTAGCATGGTGATGTGTGTTATGTGTGTTGTCTCAGTGTCAAATATAATCTCTAACAAGGGACATTCTGTGGCATACCTGGCACAAAGGATCTACTGTAGAAAGTCCTTGAGACAGATGTAGATTTTGTAAAGAGTCCCTGCTAGCAGGTTATTCTGTGAAAAGAGTGAGTGAGTTTGGTTTTACGTCGCTTTTAGCAATATTCCAGCAATATCACGGCAGGGGACAGCAGAAATGGGCTTCACACATTGTACCCACGTCTTCGGCATGACGAGTGAACACTTTAACCACTAGGCTACCCCACCGCCCAGCTGTGAAAAGAAGATCCTGTGAAAACAGCCGAGTGGTTCAGAAACTGGTCTGGTAGACATGCCCTGTGTGCAGGTTTGGTTGGTGTAACTGTATCTAGTGCTAGATCTGCATTATCTATCTAGTGGACACACACTGACTCCATGGTCTAGGTCTCTCCAGTATGCAGTTACACAGGAAGTGTCTGGATGCTCAGACTCGGCCCATCACGGGGTACAGGAAGTGGTACAGACTATCGATGTACATATAATGAACGTTATTCAATAAAATGCACCAGACCAATTCAGACTCAATTTGGTTGGACACTTGTGATTGGCATTCTGTAACTAGAGATGATTGAGGTGGAGGAAGAGGTTATTAACTGTCTTTTTCCTGCAGTGATTATTTCTAATCAAAAGTAACCACTGACTAATTACCTCGGCAACATTTTATGTTTTAGGCTCTCATAAAGTAGCATCCTCTCAAAATAATACCAATCATTAGATTGCAAGCAATTGTGTTTTCGATCTCAAGTGTCATGTTGCTGATAATGGAACAGTGAGATTGATAGGTGTTTTGTATGGTAATCAATGTTCTACCAGCCTGTGAAGTGTTCCAGGGGTGGAGGCACCAGTCAGTGAATTGGTTTGTTGGTGGTGGCTTGGTGGATATTGTAGTAGGTTGATTGGTGAATCCTTGGATGGGAAAGTGTTATTGGTTGGTTTGGGGTTGGTGAGTGAGCATGTACATGGGTGAATCCTTGGTTGGGAGAATCCTTGGATGGGTGAATGCTTGGATGGGAGAATCCTTGGATGGGTGAATGCTTGGATGGGAGAATCCATGGATGGGAGAATCCTTGGATGGGAAAGTGTTATTGGTTGGTTTGGGGTTGGTGAGTGAGCATGTACATGGGTGAATCCTTGGATGGGTGAATCCTTGGTTGGGAGAATCCTTGGATGGGTGAATGCTTAGATGGGAGAATCCTTGGATGGGTGAATGCTTGGATGGGACAGTGTTATTGGTTGGTTTGGGGTTGGTGAGTGAGCATGTACATGGGTGAATCCTTGGATGGGTGAATCCTTGGTTGGGAGAATCCTTGGATGGGTGAATCCTTGGATGGGAGAATCCTTGGATGGGTGAATGCTTGGATGGGAGAATCCATGGATGGGAGAATCCATGGATGGGTGAATCCTTGGATGGGAAAGTATTATTGGTTGGTTTGGGGTTGGTGAGTGAGCATGTACATGGGTGAATCCTTGGTTGGGAGAATCCTTGGATGGGTGAATGCTTGGATGGGAGAATCCATGGATGGGAGAATCCATGGATGGGTGAATGCTTGGATGGGAGAATCCTTGGATAGGTGAATGCTTGGATGGGTGAATCCTTGGATGGGAAAGTTTTATTGGTTGGTTTGGGGTTGGTGAGTGAGCATGTACATGGGTGAATCCTTGGACAGAAATGTGTTTGGGGCTTGGTAAATACATGGGTAGGTTTCAAGTTGCCTCTGTAATAATGCAACAATAACATTGAAGTATGGCTTGTTACCAGGTCTGTCAAAAATACTGCTGATGTTTCCTGACCTTAATGGCTTTGGAATTGGTCTGGATTGGTGATGCTATAGCAGGACGGGCAACAGGGGATATATTAACCACTGAAAGAACTTTCACAAAAGAGTACTACTTAAGTTTCAGCCAAGATTGGAAGTAGACAACAGTCCTTTCTCTTTAAGGAATTTTCTTTAAAACTTCTGCTAGGCTTCAAAGTTGATAAGTCCTTGAAGCATGTCTCCTTACTGTGTTGTGATGCATCTGGAAGTCAAACTTTAA